GAATTAAAACTGATGAATGCGCTCAGTCATTCTGTAGCGAAGACAATTGTTATAAGACTTTGTTACTGATAGATGAAAAATGCAAAGCATGCATAGAGATGTGGCATGCAAGTTTAATTATAAGCATACATCAAGCTTACAGGGGCATCCATCATTGGTCATTTGCAGTTGATGCAAGTAAACAAATCACTGGCCATAATACGTTTGTTCTTTCTGGGTGTGAGCGCTGTGCGGACAGACATGATAATACATGCAATGTTCCGAAGAACATTGCATGTATGTATGTATTCTTGAATACGCAACATTCATTACAATCGTTATAACAACCTATATTTTAACTTTTGTGTTCAGTTCATTTTCAGCTCGGTTCTTTACCTAACGCAAAAATAACTTGAAACGTTTTTTATGGCAATGTTCATTATTAAAAACAGTTATTAAAAAAACAATTTTGTACTTATGTATTTTTTTAGCTCACACAAACACACGAAGTTCAGATAGATCAGATGACTATTTATAGATGGAGTTCAGTTGCACCTGTACCTGTACACATGTTTCTTCCAACGTTTGCACGCCTACGTTTGTTATTCGAACTGGAAGATAGATATTCCACGTACGTGCAAAAGATATACAACATACACACAGAAGATATGCAAAATACATACAAATGATATAAAACACACAAACAGAAGATATACAACATACATACAGATGATACACAACACACATACAGAAGATATACAACATACATACAGATGATACACAACATACATACAGATGTTATACAAACAAACATGCAGGACGCATACAACACATAAAAATGAAAATCAATCATTCTTCTAATGTCTTCAAGCATGATATTTTAAAATTTCATCTCCATAATGTTATGCGTGATCGCAAAGTAGATGTGTGTGTGTGTGTATTTGAGACAAGAAAGCAATTTATTCTACGTTATTTATACAAATTTCAAAACATTGATATAAAAACCCATATAAAAACATTAATGAAAAAACTTTCAAAATGCTTTTAATTTTTTAGAATCAACGCCAAAAATAAAAGTTTATTATTATAAATAATTTTAAAGTAGATGAAAAATGATTTTTAATGTAAATCTTTTTATTGTTGAGTAAAGCGTTAAGTAAGCCATTGATTTTAATTTTAAGTTTGGGACTGAGATAACAAACCACAACATTGCATGCTGATGTTCCACGATAGGAATAGGTTAAAACTAGTAAAAAGTTTAATGTTTAAATATGTGTTAAAATGAATGCTGGAAAATTATATATGGTCAGCGTTCAAAGTTTACACTTTTAAATGTAAAAAATGAAAGCCAGATAGAAATGAACCTTCAGACAAGAATAAAATCCCCATAACTTAAAAAAAACATTGTCAAACAATCAAATTAGTTAATTTGTGTTATAAAATTTCTAAATTAATTAAATTCAGTATATAAATTTTAATTTTTCACCAAAATGAATGTGTGTCAGTAAGATTGGATGTTACGGTCCGCGTAACTTTGAAAGCAGAAGGCGGCAGCTAAGGAAGTAGCGGGTAGGAAAATGATGATGTGCGTGTTGCTTGATGAAGCCCTTAACAATTTCAATTTAATAGAATATTTTATTTCAATTTCGATATGTTAATAAATAATTATTTTTTTGAAAAAGATATCATACACTCGTTTGAACATGGACGGAAGTTATTTACGTATTCCAAAATTGTGTATACAAATCTGATAATTTGAAAAGTAAATCTACAATAACTTTGATAAAAAGTTTTAATCATAAAAATATTACCTATAATAATAATTTTGATGATATCATTAATTTTACCATTATCTTACAACGTAATCAGTGTAGTGTAACTGCCATATAAAGCGCTATATAAATATTATGACGTAAACAACCCATTACGACATTGAGGTAATGTAAATGATGTGGGCAGTGGGAACTGGTCCGGTTCCAAGTCACCCTCTTCAACAAAGTCATCCTGCTGGTAACTCGTTGAATGTAAAATGCCGCCTAACGTTCATACCTACGCCGCACACACATCTACACGTACATACTAACTACCAAAACGCGCAGACATTTACATACACACACACACACCACACACACACATACACTCACACACACACACACACACACACACACACACTGTACGTATAACACATGTGTAGGTCGAGGTGAAGACGAACATATGCATGCAACAAACCGATAGACATTTACATTAGAACTTTCGCACGAAGCGTGCAGAGGTTGCAATACCGTAACGTTAGCGCGAACGTACAAGTGGGTACGTGGGTACGAGAAAGAAAAACATCACGAGGCACCACCATCACCCCTTTCTTATTTGTTGCACTCGATGAAATCTTATTTGTCTTGTAAATCGTTCTACTCTATCGTATTGATTCGTTAAAAGCGCCATCAATGTTTATTTTTTAATTTTTTTTTATCACACCATATTTATCAGCATTCATCTTATTTCGTAATTTTATATTCACCAATATTCACGATACTTTTAATTTAATACATATTCATCAAAATTTATAAACATCCTTAAATTTTTTTTAGATTCATTGATTTTTGTTTTCGAACTCAAGACTAGGTTCCTTTCAGCAAGTAAATGTAATCTGGTAAATGTACATTGATAAAGTTCAGCCACACACGAAAGTTGGAATGAAAGAACGCAGGAGAATGACTTGAAGAAGGAGGAGAGCATCATCTTCGGCTCTCCATGCCTGCCTGCCTGCCTGCTTGCTTGCATTATAAATGAATACAAATAGACCAATCTAGCAGGACCACATTACGCAAACAAATCATCCGTGAAACAGAAATGCAAAATTCGTAACCTTACAAGGCGTGATGTAATGCAAACATCTCGCAACATCCTAAACTTAAAAAAAAGCAATCAATAGTCAACCCAGGAAAAAAAATGTCAACAACCTACATACAGAGTCCAATAAATTTATTTCTTATTTGGCATAAACTGACCATGGAAAAATAATTATGATTTAATTTTTTACTTTTGCAACATCATCATGAACTTTGAACCATAAACAAACAAGAAACGATGTGCAACAAGCTACATTTATGCATGCGTATGTATGTATGTATGTGTGTGTGTGTGTGTGTGTGTGTGTGTGTGTGTGTGTGTGTGTGTATGTATGTATGTATGTATGTATGTATGTATGTATGTATGTATGTATGTATGTATATATGTATGTATGTATGTATGTATGTATGTATGTATGTATGTATGTATGTATGTATGTATGTATGTATGTATGTTAAAACCAAAACATGATGAGTGACACTGAACCGTCAAACATCAAGTAACAAATAGATTAACACTTTGATTTGTCGTTAATTGCACATGTCGGCATTCAGTTGGATATTTTCAAGCACACAGACACGCAGGAACCGCTGCAACAAGCACGAAATGTGGTTAGTTGCGAAAAACAGTTCCCTGCTGTCGCCTGATCTGACGCTGATCATTTTGCATATTTCCTTAAGAAATTTAAGGGTGTTGAGGTCCATCGGGCCAAGAACCTCGATGCATATTGGTGCCCAAACTCGTCCGCCCCAGCGCCACATCAGCACGTGTATTTATTCTGAATGACCAGGCCAAGTCTGAAGCCAATGGCAAATCTCACAGACTCATCGTCAAGCCTGGTGCCCACAGAGGTGTTAGGCCACGATCTCAACCACCCACAGCTGGCAACGCTGGACATGGCCAACAAACGAGCGGTGGAAAAGTTGTCGCCGCTTGAAGACAACAAATTTTGAAAGATTTTTTTATATTCTTCGTTCAAAATTTGGACGTGCGTATGGTCCCCCGGGGCGGACACTGGGGGAAGAATATCGCGGCAACAAAAAAACCGGTGGAGCAGGGAAGACTGCAGGTCAAGAGTGGCAGCGGCAGAAGAATTATAAACAACGGGAGCCAGCTGAACCACGCTAAGCAACCCCAGCCCACCAAATCGCACCGGCAGCTGAGCCTGGGACCAACCACTGTCAGTCACTTGAACATTGCAAATCGACGACAGGGCGGTGCGCAGGGCTCCGTCAAATTCGCCCAATTTAGAAGGGTCAATGTGTTTAGATGTACGCAGGAAGTACATCAATTTGGGCAAACTGAGGGCATTGCGGATAAGAGTCAAGGCATCATGGGCCAAAAGACAGGAAACACGACCCAGGGCAAATTTAAGCTCAGAGAGCTTTTGGTCAAAAAACTTCGCCCTCGACCAAGGGTGTGCCTAAAAAACTCAGTTCTGATGCACCAACTCTGGGTATTTCAGCCAGCGCATGTGGCACCTGAAATAAACTTTGGCAGTGAAGTTCGCATTTTTTAATGTTTAACATTTTTTAATGCCAATTGCAGCGGAGTTATGCTTCAAATATTAGTAGCTATCGGCCAGAGTTGGACCGTCCGAAGCTATGCAGATATCATCCAGATAAGCGCAAACGAAAGTGGACGAAGCTTTTTCTAAGAGTGGATGAAGAGTTAGTGCGAACAACAAAGGACCAAAGGGATCACGCTGCTGTACCCCCTCGGACGATTCTACAACCCAAGAGTGGTAGCCAAGGGAAGAGACTCCGCCATAGGCAGAATGGCAAAAATTATAGATATTGGGGCAAAAAAGTTTGACAGCCTCCAACATCGAGTCTCTTCTCAAGGCATTGAAGGCATTTTTAAAGTCCAGTTTCAGAAACCCCCATTGATCGGGGAGGTCGGTGACCAATCTTTGAACCGCATGAACAGCGGCCTCAGCGCCACCCTTAATCCCGACACCCAACTGAGTCGGATAGAACTTGGTCTTAAGTTCGACCACGACCAGGGCCAAGGCACATTTGCCGGCCAACCTCCTCCAAACGTTTCCGACCGCAATCGGTCTGACCCCTCTTTCTTATTTAAAGCTATTAGCCGGCCTCCAAAAAAGAACCGGCGGACGGAGAGTGGGCAAGCTCCAGATAAGATCAAATTAATGAATTGGGTTAAGGAGTTCAGTGTGTCGTCGATTGGCAAGGGGCCTGAAAAAACATCCTTAAGGTGCTGGGGTCGTAGGCCATCCAGGCTTCCAGAAGAACCGGAATTTTTGGGTGGATGGAACATAATTTATCGAAGGTGGCCGGCGAGCTCTCCGCCAGGCCCTCCGGCGAACAGACAAGTCTGACAGCCGAGGACAGGTTTCCCTGTTCAATACAAGATGACACAGCGTTGATCCACCGATCGGGGTTGTGCTTTTGTGATTTGGCATTATTGAACCCATCAAAGCACAGTACCAGGGTTTCAAGACCAATAGTTGAATATTCGCTTAGACGCTTGTTGACCAGATTGCCCTGGTTGACCCGGCGACCCCCTCTGGAAGTCTTCTGTAAGACGTATAGGACAAAACAGTGGAGTCTAACCCAGTGAGCCGGGTCACCAGGGTCATTACAAACAGCCGTCAGCAAGGCGTTCGGTTCATGTGCGAACTTCTCCCTGCATGGCTTAGGGATATGGTCGTACACCGGTACACATTTCAGCACGGCCGTCAGCTTGTCAAAAACACCAGAGTAATCCAGGCCGAGAGGATCACCGGAGACCGATGCGGCCGACGACCGTGTGGGCAACCCAGGCTTGGGGTCGGGTGCGGCACCGTGAGGTGAAGCAGCCCTCGCGCCCGATGGATCAACTTTTTTCCGGGACCCCGAGCATTCCTGTCCTTTCACTTTACTTCCGTGCCGACATAACTTCCCGTCTGGAGTGCTTCTATAGTGGTTAAAGCAGATGGGGCACTGTTGTAACGTTGAAGCCATATGTGATTAAAAACAACCAAGAAACGAGGGAAAGGAAACAAACCAAGTGGGGTGGATGGATGAATGAATGGATGAACAAGCGAATGACCAAAGGAACGGGCCAGCGAACAGTGAATGAGCTAATTACTGAACGGACGAGTGAGGGAAAAAAAAGAATGAATGAGTGAGTGAACAAATAAATGAATGAATAAACAACCGAACGAATGGATGAATGAATGAATACATGAATGAGTGACGGAATGAATGAACGAGCGAACGGATGAATGACTGAATTATCTTTAAATATTTAACCAGTGTTTCAACTTTTATTTATTTTTTTTTCTTTTTTTTTTTTTTTTTTTATTGACGAATGAATGAGTGAGTGAGCAAATGAGTGAATGAGTGAATACAAAAACCTAGGTAACAGTGTGGGAGGAGACACTATTGCAGCAAACTTTTTTTTTTACACAGATTTTAAAAATTGGTTTAGGAAATTTCTTTTTTTATAAATAAATTTTAATTTAAACTTTAAATTTTAATTTCAAAAATAAATTAAAAATAAATGTCGGTAGAAGGTAAATAAGTTAAAATGTAGTGAACTTTCCAATAATAATAAAAACAGCTCACACCTGGCGCAGGCCGGTGACATGTAGCAGCTATGAGCTGTGAATAAATTATAATATTGATAAAAAAAAACAAAAAACGAGAAAATTGGCCGAGACAGGGCAGAAAAACGATAAAAAATGACGGAAAAACAAACCCGGGACAAAATTACAGCCGATGACCCCAAAAATCATCTATAAAAACAATTTAAAATCTATGAATTTAGCAAAAATAATCAGGAAATTAAAACAATCCAGCCGGCTTTGAATGTGAACAAACGATGTATGTATGTATGTATGCATGTATGCATGCGTATGTATGTCTGTATGTATGTATGTATGTATGTATGTATGTATGTATGTATGTTGGTATGTATGTGCCAAGCAGTACAGTGTATAAGAGGCGAACCTCTACTGTAATATTTGCATGCGTTCACTATAACGTTCAAGTGGTATGTGCGTACGTGCATGTGTGTGCGTGTGTGTGTGTTTGATATAAGTCTTTGTAGAAGAGGAATTTAGTTGAATTGTAGATGAATTAAGCTGGCTTCATAATTGATAGTCCTTGACATTTAACTTGGTTTGATGGTTTGATGTAACAATCGATGCAAATTACATAAAAATCTCTTCTTTGTGAAAAATAGAAATTCTCAAATACTTGTGTCGTCAAGATAATTTATAGAAGTTCCTTCGCACACGATGTGATGTGATTTGATGGGATGTGATGGGATGTGATGGGATGTGATGTGATTTGATGGGATGTGATGGGATGTGATGGGATGTGATGTGGGGCTGGTTTGTAGATGCTTGAGAGGAGAGGCACATGCGTGGCCCGCTCATGTTTTTGCGGTGTACGCTCAATAAATCATCAAACTCTGCCATGCACACAACAGAACAGAGTTTGATTTTTCCATTGTAGAATGTTATTTAAAGTCAACGTTTTTTGAAAAATTGTTAATAAGGAGAAGCCATTTAAGCAATGTTTATTACAATAACAAACGCACAAACATTGTATCGTGAATATATTTTATGGTTCATATATGTCCCAGGTATTTCACCGAAACTTTGAAAATGTTAAACAGTTAAGCATGTTTTATTATTTATGCCTTAAACGTTACATTTATTTTTAATTTGATTTACAATTTCAACACGTTGAAACAATTTTGTAAAAATTAAAAAAGTCAAAATAAAATTATCCAACCAATAATTTCAATTGAAATATTTTGTCTATTCCGCTTTTAGGATAGTGAACTAGTTGTAAATTTTGAGACCCAATTTTTCTTCAACCAACCAACCACAGTCAAATATTTATTTAAAACCAAAAAATAAATCCACTTTAATTTAAGTCAAAAGTTATTCACTTTTATTCACTTAAGGCCATAGCGTTAAACAGTTACTGCAGCGCACATTTCGAGGTTTTTGAAAGAATATCATTAACACCTGAAACACTTCAGTGTCTTACAAACAATACAATTGTTGAATGTTTGTTTGTTGGTGGAAGCAGTTAGTGATTTCAAGGCAAGATATTTCATTGGTAGGCGTACATACAAGTCCACCATCGCAGATTATTTTACATTTGTGGATTTCATTTGCCATTTAAACTTCCATCTACTTTATTTTTATTTCACTACCCAACCAAAAAATCATATAATATTACTTAACATCATCTGATAATATAATATATAGCTGCAAAATTTTTCAAAAACGCTAATCAATGGTATCCTGGCTGGGTGATTTCAAAACATTAAAAAAATTTTCAAAATTTTTTATGCGTTTGCAACAAGAACAACAACCATGTTTCGAAATATTAGCCAAATAACTTTTTAACAAAATTCATATATCGTCAAATAATAAAATCCGAAGAAATGTCTCTCAAACGATCACAAATGTTGCATTAGTGGCTTCATTTTAATTTTGCACTCATGAAAAAAATAGAAATTGTTTCTAAAAACCGGTTACAACAAATAATTTGAAATATAATAATTAAATAATACGTTGAAAACAAAAGTTCTCCAACGTTAAGTTACAAAATATGAATAAGAATTTTGTATTGTGTTGACGTTCTCTCGATGCTAAATAAATTCTGCCTACAATTATGGAAAGTGTTTTAATAATTCTTAAAAATTAAGAATGAATAGGCAAGAATAAAAAACGGCCAATGTTACTCCGGAGAGTTTCATAAATTTTCATAAATAAGTACAGATATCTCAAATGTTGTTTATTTCATTGAGCGTATATCAACCAAAGACAGCAAATGGTCTTACGTATCTATTCTGTTTTATGATTATTAAAAAATATCCCAGCCAAACAATCATGCAAATGTGCTTTAATGGAATGAATGCGGTTGAGGGCCAATAAATTAAATCAGCTGCGTAACATGCTAGTAGCTGTACGGACGTGTAACGTGATGGACGATGAATGGCTAGATGCAAGGATGAATGGATGTACAATGAATTGCTGGATGGATACATATCATAATTGACAATTAATGGATAGATAGATGCATGGATAAATTTCATGATAAATAATGAATGGTTTTATGGATGGTTACATATAACGATAAACAATAAAGGATGATTAGATGGATGGATGGATACATATGAAAGATTGATAGATTAAAGGTTTAGATGTTTGAATGTAGGCTTGAATGGATGATACATATCACAAAAAACTGTTAATCATTAGATGGATGGATAGATACATATCATGATAGACGATAACATAGGTACACGAAGAATGCACAAACACAAAACTTGATAGCATAACCTGATAGGTAATAAATTAATATATGGATGAAGGATTGATGGATAGACGGTGTAGATGTTCGGATGTATGCTTGAATGGATGAATACGTGCCTACAAAAATTTATGGAACGCCGAGCCCATTTTTCGATAAACTAATTATAAACACAATGGAATGAATATTTACGTTTTTGACAATAAATTAATAAAATTATTACATTAAGATGTATGACTAGAAATGAATTATCCAATTTTAACTTTTTAACGCACCGTAAATAAAAAGAAACGTACTCACGTACGCACAAATACAAACGTGTAAAGTACAAACACAAGCTGTCGCGTACAAACACATTCACACACAAACATACACACATGTACAAACACACACACATGTACACACACACACACACATGTACTAACACAGCCGCACATACGCATACATGCAATCAAACACAAGCACACACATGCAAGCACACACAACACATACAAAAATCACGCGCACGGACACAATCAATTCGAGCGGCTCTACGTAATTACAGTAGTTGGAGAGAACATGAGACGTCCAATTTCAAAGAACCTCACAAAAAACCGCATTAAAACCCAGCAAACAATTCACATTACAGTATAAAAAACGAAAAGCTTGCATTCAAACCCAGCAAAAACGACCAAGTAAAGTTATCAGGCAGTACTATGCAATGGAGGTACATGATTTATGACCTAGCTGACGTGTTATTTCTAAATCAAAAATGTTCATTGGCCGTGTTGTCCCGTGATCGACAAGGAAGATTGCGTGGAGGGAAAGAGGGTATTGAAATGACGCAGTGCAGCGCAGTGCAGTGGACACTCATGAGAATTCTGCTTTCGTTGGATAATCGAGAAGAGAGGTGTCGTGTCGTGTCGTGTCGCGTCGTGTTGTGTCGCGCGGCTGACTGGTTGGCTAACTGACTGGCTTGCGTGCGTTCTTTATGAAGGCAAATACTAAACGCTCAAGATGTATGACTGTGTCTGTCGTAATTGGATACCAGGCCCCTCTCATGATATGGAGATGATGACGACCTGAAGATGATGTGGAGATGATTACAGCCTGAATGTGATACAAAAATGATGATGACGACCTGAATGTGATACGGAGATGATGATGACGACCTGAAGATGATGGCGACGACGATGTAAAGATGATGACGATGTTAAAATGTGGTGTGAAGGTGATAAACATATGGACGATGAAATGATGTAAAGAAGATGATGAAGATGATCAGGACGGTTACAATGTGGCATGTGAAACAATCTAATGATATGAAGATTATAACGTTGACAGAAATGATGCCAAGATGACGACGACGATGACCTAAAGACAAAGTAAGCGATGCGAAGTAGGCAGGCAGCCGCGAGAATAATAATGACGACAATGACTACATTGATGATGCAAAATATATCATCAGGATCTTGATAAAAATGTTTATGATGATAGTATGGGGAGAGAAGATAGGTTATCTACACGGATAGGGAATGAACTAGTGATACAACGACTTGATTGGATTATAGGGATATGTGTTAGGACAAAAATGATGTGAAGAAAATAAACGAGGAAATAAATTGAATCTATCGGTTTCAATGAAAAGTACAATTTGTACGGAGATGATGTGATAATAATGAAGTAAGTAAATAAGTAAGCAAGTATGTGTGTGAGTGAGTGAGTGAATGAGTGAATGAATAAATGAATGAGTGAGTGAGTGAGTGAATGAGTGAGTGAATGAGTGAATGAGTGAGTGAATGAGTGAGTGAATGAGTGAATGAGTGTGTGAGTGAATGAGTGAATGAGTGAGTGAGTAAGTTATTGTATAAGTGACTATTGATATGATCACGTAATGACAAACAGTAACGATGGTGTTGGATTTATATGTGACGATGGTGATGCCAGGATGACTCTGTTGAAATTTGAAATACTATTGGGGAAATTTTAAAAAGTCGCTTAGTTAAATTGCGTTTAATGGTAATTAATTTATTTTATTTAATAATTAATTGTTATTATTTTCATTAATGTTGAATATACTTTTAAAAAATTCATCCAACTGATGTAATAAATAACAAGGAGTGCTTGTAATAAAGAACTGAACGCTTCAAACAAAGGAACGAGATGTTTTAGCTGGCAGGGCAGTGCATGAGTTATGGGATGGAATGGTATGAAGGATGATGTGGACAGTTGGCGGAATGGTGAATGAAAAAAATCCAGATGAGTATTTGAAGATATTCTAAGAGTATTTAAAAAAATTCTATTATAAACTTTAGGTCTAAACTTTAATATTTTAGAAACAATTTTTTAATAGCTTTATAAGTAAATAGCTTTTCGTAGTTTTATTAAAATTCTGTTTAGCATTCAAAAATAAAAATTTATATACAACAAAAATTTGAAATTTTTCCAGCGGCTTAAATAATTCATATAAAAAAAATTAGTTTAGACATAATTTAAAAATCACGAGCTTCTGGCTCTGCAACAATCGGATGATTGTTATGGGACCTATACGTGCATCTAACATTCCGCATTCGACCAGGATCGATACCAGAATGCGAAATTCCCATTCACGATGGTAACACGTGACGATGAACAACAAATTGTCTGGATTAACTGAGATGAGAGTCAGATAACATTTCTATTCTGGAAAAATACGATGTTACGTGTGATGTGGGGATGATGAGGTGGGTGATGTTGGGAGGATGTGAAGATGATGCAATGGATGATGTGAGGATGATTTGGTGCGTGATGTAGTGATGAATGCCATCAATTCGGTAGAATTCATACAATTCTGTATAAAATATGATTTCTTTCCATTATATATATATATATTATATATATATATTATATATATGTATATATATATATTTATTTATGATTTCTACATAATTGTTGGCATTAATCAATTTAAAGTTTGTTTTTTCAATTTTCCTTACTAGAACTTTCTAGAAAGTGTTTAATTTGTTGAAAATCGAGTTATGCAAGTATCTCATGAAAATTTCATAAAACTGTTGTTATCAAAATTCATCATGCAGATAAGGCCTTACTTCAATTTTTCATAAATCATCTTCAGTGCAGTTTTGGTTTATATAGTTTCTTTAAACAATGCAAAGTTCTTCAGCAAAGTTTATTAGCTGGTATCATATTTTTCATCTTTGTTGTTGTCATTTCTTTGTCCTTCATTGTTATTGAAGTTAGAATTAAGGTGTTATCACTTACATCATTTTCATTTCATCTCAATCACACCATCATCATCATCACCATCATCATTATCTCAATCACATCATCACCATCATCATCATGAACTCAATGCCACCAGCCAGTCGATAAATAAATCAATGTTTCGTCATATGAGCTCTCCTCAACTGGCTCTTTTGATTGCAGGCTGGTTGGATGGGCATCCATTTTGATTGGATCACTCGACATTCTTGTGACGTCAAAACATCAATGTTGATCAATTCATTCATTATTGAACGGAAGAAAGATAAAGAAGAAGAACCTGTAACAAATTTTTTTAGATATTTTCAAGTGTCATAATGGTAACAAATACTAAAACGGATCCAATCACATCAACAACAACACCAACAACAGCGTCAGAAACAACATCAACAATAGTATCATCTGCAACAACAAGATAAGATAGACACAACAACAAGATAAAATAGACACAACAACATCCAAAACCACCCCACAACTGCAATGCCAACAACAATAACAACAATAACAACAACAATAGATATCAACAATTTGAAAACAACAATCAAAATAATAATGCTGTGAGTAGCATAAAAAATCCTTCAAGTTATAAGGAAATCTCACATCAACTAGCCAATTCATTGGTAGTAACAACATTAAAGGCGGTCATGTACAGAGATGACATAGTTAAAAACTAGAAAATATTTTTAAACACACGCATGCAGTACTATGAATGAAGTGAAAAAATTCGCTTGTCTACAGCAGAACAGTTTTGCTGCCTCTTTCCATTAAAATTTTCCATGAACCAACTCAAAAAGGAACCGCGAATGTTATATTTTTATATTTTGGACTGAATGACAAAGTTTTGACACGTTTGAAAGTTTGAAGGCCTGTTGGCCAACATCTGCTGAGAAAATTATTTTTCTGTTTTTTTTTGTCCTTTGTTTTTAAATATATTTCAAAATAATATTCTCAACTTGAATGAATCAAAATTATTTGTAATAGCTTGTTATCAGAACCAATGAAATTAAGTCTGCAGCTCATCGTTATAGAGATGGAGCGCTGGGAAAAAAATAATTGAGAAGACGAACGAAGGACGATGAGCATTATTCCGCATGTAAGTTTCTCCACGTAGAAAATGAAAAAAATTCTTCGCGCGTTGAAACTGGAAACAAAATACTAACAATTATAGTGCTGATGACGAAGATAACACTAATAATAATAACAACAACAACAATAACAACAATAATAATAATAATAATTTGTAGACCTACATAATTCCATGCTTATTATGCTTAAACATTCTTACTCCGTTATTAATTTTCCGTTATCAATTTATGCCAATGTCTTGCATATTGCAACAACTTTTGCCTCTGCCAGATTCTGATTATTTTAAGAATAAAAAAAACACATTGGAACAACAGAACATGTTATCAATGTCAACATCACATCATTTCACTTTGACAACGAAATAATCTTATATTACAGAAATCATCGAAGTTTTCCTCAAACAAATTATAAAATGAAATGTTACCCCAATCAATGATACCAATAAAATAAAACTCAAAATATACTACAACAATTGTATGACATCACAATTGGTCCTAAAGAACAACTGCACTTCTAAAGACGATTCTACTTTGGGGCGTAACCAAGAAATATATGAATTTATATGTTCTATTGACGACTGTGCGTGTCAACAAAATTTTTATATTGGTGTTACGACCACTTCACTATCAAGACGTCTCACAATTATTAAAACTTATTAAAACACCAACACAGTACGTTTAAAAATTGTAGAAGCTGTCCTAATAGATATCAATTAACCCCAAATAAACATCCAACAAAGAATGATAACATCATTACCAACTTGACGCCTTAATATAAACTTCAACAACAATGAAGAACAAAGAAAGGACAACGACAAGGATGAAGAATACGACACCAACTAAGTAACTCACTTTACTGAAGAACTAACTTTGCTTTGTATGAAGAAACTATATGAAACCTACACTGGAGATGATTTGTGAAAAATCAAAATAAGATCTTATCTGCATAACTAAATTTTCATGATGAACTTGGATAATAAATAATTCTATTTTCAATAAATTGAATAATTTTCAGAAAATTCTAGTTAGGAAATTTGAAAAGACAAACTTTGAATTGATTAATGCCAACACTTTGATAGAATTCATACATTACATTATATATTATATATACATTTATATTATATGCATTTGCAACGAACATCACTTAGATAACGTTTAGTATAAATTGTTCTAAATTTTCAAACACACTCCTAACTCGTTTTAATGCTTTGAAATTCGAAAAACAAGGATTCACAATACACTGATGAACGTCAAAGATAAATGTTCAATAACGCTCTGAAAAGGAAACAACGCTTTGATGTATCAATACCACGACTTATCTTATGTTAAAATGACAGAATCAAGATGAGACAGAAACAACCAACATACGTTATTAACGTTATTATTGATTCTTTTGATTATACGAAGCTTATTCAAAAATGTTTATTCACAGTTTTACAGATAAAAATTAAAAGTAATTACTTTTCTGTCACATCTGCAACCAGATAACACATGCATATGCACACTTTCTGACGCCGCACCATCTTTAAATATAAAATTTTGATGAGAACGAAACGCTGTGCTTTATGATTATTGAGGAGTCCCATTCAACACAACTGTCTTGGGAGCTTCTTTCAAATTTTTAAACTTTGGACTGCACTTCTTTTATTCATGTAGAGGCCTTCCATAAATTTTACTACAAGAACCAAAATCTTGTTTTATTACTCTTCCACGTTGAATTTTCATTTATAGCATTCGTCTTTGCGTCAGTTTAAAAATGCATCGCGCATGTTTCGAACGTTCATGAAGCGTTTTGAAACGTTTAGTCCTCCCGAAATCAAATTTCCATTCATTATATCATTTTTTTTTTTTAGTTTTCACCACAAATAAAAAGAATGAAAACCGAAGGAAGACCGAATGGAAATGTTGTTGCAATGATTGCCACATTGTTTTTTCTATTGATGCTGTACGTAACGATTGCTATATTTTTGGTTGATAAGTTGCTTGGGGATTTTGCAAACGATGTTTTTATAGCCGTTTCATTGTTGTTGCTTATCTATTTGTTGGCTTCTGTCAGCTGCATGTACATCGTTAATGATGCCATTTACATCCATGGTTGCCGCCTAATTAACTAATTAGCTGATTAATTACTTTCTGGATTTTTTTTATAGATATTTTAAGTCGTTTTTAAGCACCTAACCAATGCACTGTGCATTGATGAATATTGCAGTTTGGTGTAGGTATCAAATCTATTGATGGCTATGCGTTATTTGATGATAGAGTTTCCAGATTGAATGCCGGCCGTTCCTAATATGCAATTAGTGTTTCAACATTTGCAGTTGAGGTGTATCAGCAATGAACCTGATTCACCGAACGTTGAGAGCCACAATCATTTCTGTTGGTTTGATCATTTCCATTGAAAGGTCGTTCAGCTCATTCAAATTGTTTCCATATCTACGTGGTAAGAATGCACCAGCTTTGTTATCCAAGCTGACGTCATAATTATGACGACAGGATCACTATCATTACCATCACCATTATTAATATTGGTGTTATCAAAAACATCGTTATTATTTTTATTGTCAACCTTCTCGTTCAGTTCTATCATACATCAAGATCGTTACTTCGTAACGTTTCATATGTGCATCGTTCGTTCGTTTATTGCTTT